AAATGTATCATTCTCACTCAAAGGATGGTTGAAAGTGCATTTGAAAGTGAATTTGTGATGTTATTTGTTATGTCATTTTCTGTCAACGTTATGTCATTTTTTATGTCATTTGTCATGAAAAGAAAACACAAGTATTTCATTCTACTTGTGTACACATGACAATTAACTTGAACTTGAAAAGATCTGCATGCAGGAGGAACATTTATATTTGAGCTATATAATATATCATGAATGTAAAAAAACGTTTTATGAAGACACTTCTGAGTTTATTTCAGCATGAGTCTTAGCATAGTTCTCAGAAAAGCCATATAAATATTTGTTGCAGGCAAAACATTTAATGCACGAAACAAATATATATTTGTATACCTACTTGTTACTATAAATTGGCTCGATCTGAATGATGTTTAATATACAGCACATTGTATGTACATTTATGTTAAATTTTAAGTCAGTTTAAAGTTCGTAGTTCAGAAGCAGTTTATCAGTCTTCAGGCTTTTACAATAAGAGTAAAGGAGATTCTTTCTTTACATTACTTCATAGGCATGACCTGGTGCAACATTTGCAATAGGTATCCAAGCCCTGATCTAGCCTGCTGTGATTTAACATTTTTGCTTTATGACAAGACCACCACAGACCAAGCCTAAGAATGAGACAGGCTTTTCACAATAAGAGTTTTCAAGTTTCAAAACACTCTGTGAAAACTCTGTGATCCTTCTGGTTGATGCTTTATTTTGAAAACAGAAAAAAGGAGGAATAATAGCTACCAAACCCACAGCCCCAAAGCAGCCAGGACAGTTAATGTAAGGAGAGTAAAACAGGGCTCAGAGATTACAGTCTGAGCTGAAATCACTTCTAAATGTTAAGAGCCTGCACCTGTTATGAGGCTGCGCCTCTTTTTTCCACAACAAGTGGACGGATATATCCAGTCTTCTCCACGCTCGCTTGGTACAGGGGTTTGGGTAACAAGTGCACACATAGCGTTCATAGGCTGTGTGTCAGCTAGCAGCGGGAGGGGGGTATTTTTATACACCCGACACACACTGTGGAAAATATTCAGCAAATCTGAGTCAGTGCAAGACTGTGCGGAGGTCGTTCATAAAAATAGCAAGACAGCCTCTACTGGTCAGGTAAAAATAGGCACACTTTGTCTTCACAGGGTCTAAAAACAGCAGCTGGTATTATATTGCTATACCACTAAGCAGTGGAGTAATAGATTGCTCTATATAAACAGGTTTATATATATAGCCTCAAAAGATTTTATAAATATCCATATAGTAACTGAAAAGCAGATTATCCTCTGATGTCTAGCTGAGGTTGTTAATCATATTTATTTTTACATTAAAATCCACACGCTCCTTACTGCAGCTGTTGGGATACTGCTCTTCAACACAAAGAGTAGGGGGTGTCTTTAACACACTGTTGTGCCATAATGCTGAAGATGGCACTCTGAGAAAGTCTGAGAAAAGAAAAATAGCCTGAGCTCAATTGACAGTCTAAAAAACAAGATCGGTCAAGTAGATTCCTCTTAGTAGTAACCCTTATGGGCTTGTGTTCTTGACTGTTGTTGCTTTCTGTCATGTTGTATGCTGTTTTGGTAAAGGATAAGGGTAATGCAAACTAGTACAGAGCAAACAAGGTTTTTCCAACTCCGCTATGTATACTGGGGACACTACTGTGAGGTGGGAACAGATTCCCTTAACGATATGAGCTTATGTTATCCTCATCCTATACAGTATATACCACTGAGTAGTAAGGAAACACTATGCACAGAGACACAGAGAGGCTGGTGGAGAGAGCAATTACTGGAGTCACTAGTACTGTTATTTCCTGGACAGGAAAATCTTTATACCAGTGGAGTGACAATATGAGTAAGAAATGAGAAGATCCTGAAAATGGGTGCAAGGCAGCGGGAATTTAAAAAGGTTTCTGAGGAGCAGTGTGCGTTCATATCCAATGATACTGCACTGCTCTTACTTTTCAAAACCCCTTTATGTTTTAATGATTGTATTCAAAGGCTAACTTTTTAATTGACTTGTTTAAAGCACGATACAAATGTGGGTTCTGTTTCTAGTTTTTGAACATAGAACAGCAAAACATACAAACTGGGAATCCTTCAGGAAGTTGCTGCTCTGTGGTCTGGGTTGTCAGTCTCCCTCATCTTGGCTTCCTGCGATGCTTTTTTTAGTGAGGAGAACTTCCTAAGCTCCCTGTTGTTCGGTTTAAGCTTGTTCTTTAATCACTGCCAATAACGAGAAAATCATGAAAGGAGGCGAGTGATATCCTACACGTCTGTATGTGTGCGTTGCTAATATCAGCCTCCAGTAATTCAAAACACAGCAGCGCAGGTGCTCTCAGTGGAATCGGACACATTTCCAAGCTCCACTCCTTGGGTATTGGAAACTTGTGAGGTTCCACTCTTCTCTGCCAGGGCTATACTGGGAGTCCCGATCAACCTGGCCAGCAGGCAGCTTGTGTGTTGTGATAAGAATAGTAACTCATGTCGCTATTTTTGACATGTCTGCTGCTGGAAACGGCGCAGTTGCATGCCTCCCTCACCCTGGCTACAGGATATTTATAGGGAGAAGGCCGTTTTGTAAAGTCACAGCAGCTAAAGTTAGGGCAGGAGTGTCAGCTGATATACACGTCATGGAGTATGGTGACAGAGGTCAGGAGGCAGTTTAAATCAAAGCTGACCACTAGACCTTTTGTGTTATCATTATCATTAAATAGGTTGGTTCTTGATTTTGATGTCTAGGAAGGCGAAGGATTAGCAACACTGGCTCTAGTCAGTCATACAACGGAATGTGCGTTATGCAAGTTTGCTCATGTAGTTTTGCCTTCTTTCTGATGTTTGTGACATGACCTGCCGTGTTCCTCTGGCCCCATCTAAAGTCAATACTACAGGAACAGCTGAATTGTACCATGATTCCTGTTAAGTTGAATGTTTCAGGATGTGGGCTACTTTCATTTTTTGGCTGAAACACATTACACTTACCTTAGATCTAAACTCTGGCTGAATAACTGAGTGATTTAAAAACTATACCATCTTTCTTCCATGACTGAATATATTTGTTCCACACCTACAGTATCATCAGAAACTGATACTAGCACAGCTTAAAGTTAAAGCCTACAGGTGGAGATAAGAGAAAGGTTTCTCAATGGTAGGACTGATAATCGCCTACAGGACAGTAGTGAACACATTCAGCTGTTTCTGTACAAGTTTTGTAATCTAGTAGAGCAGTTTATATAATAATGATGATGATGATATGCTCCCCGCTTGGCTGACACAGCAGGGTGACAGTCAGTGCTGCTGTGTCACTGATTGATTGGTGTCCCTAAGTTGTGTGCGTGTGAGTGTCCTTCAATGGACTGGCATCCTGTTCAGAGTGTAGTCCTGCCTTGTGACCAGTGTTTCCCTAATGGGCTCCGATTTGCTACATCCCTTGCGGGAACAATTCTTTTCATGATAGTGGATGGATGTCCAATTAAGGTTAAAGGTTCAACCTGCACATTTTCAAAACCTCAGTTACTTCTGGAGCTTTTCTGGAAACTCCACTCAAAGTGCTTCACAAGTAATGGGGACTCCCCTCCACGCCCACCAATTTGCAGCCCCACTTAGATGATGCGATGGCAGCCGAAGTGCGCTGAACACTCCCCACACATCAGCTCTCAGGGGGGAGGAGGGCAGAGTGATGAAGCCAGTTCATATATGGGCATTATTAGGAGGCCATGATTGGTAAACGCCAGGGAGAAATGTGGACACTGGGGTAACACCCCTACACTTTTTGAGAAGCACCCTGGGATTTTTAATGACCACGAAGAGTCAGGAACTCATTTTTATGGTTAATCCAAAGGACAGAACCTCTTTTAATGTATATTGTCCCCGTCACTATACTAGGGCATTAGGACCCACACAGACTGCAGGGTGAGTGTCCCCTACTGGCCTCACTAACACCTCTTCCAGCTGCAACCTGAGCTTGTCCTGGAGGTCTCCCACCCTGATACTGGCCAGTACCTGCTGAGCTTCAGTGGGCTGCCAGGTGCGAGCTGCAGGGTGATCTAGCTGCTGGCTGTATTTTAAGAAAGCAGCCCGCACAGCAGGGCCAGCTACCAGCAGCAAGTGGAAGTGGCCTCAGACTCACTCTCAGCTGCTGCACTTGTGCTGAGCAACTGGAAAATGTTGAGTTCCCCCCTTCCCTTTCCTCCCTCCTGTCAGGGAGCTGGCATGGCTCCATCGTGGTGTGCAGCTGGCCGTACTCCACCTGCCAATAAACAGATATATTTAATAAGAATTTTCCATGCACTATCTTGAATGGGAAACATTGCGGTTTTATTTAGACTTGTAAAATTCTCCCCACTGCGATCCCACAGCTGCCCTCCGAAGACATTAATTGTGTGAATAAATAATATCTGTGTAATTAATGCCACTTAAACCGGTCGTACCTCAGCCTCAGCGTGACCCTCCTTCATTTTTCCCTCCTAAAGCTCACGTTTGGAAGGCCCCGACCCTTCCCTAGACTTGTGGCTTTCACTAGGTTAGCCACCCAGGGCAGGCAGCAGATGCTGGGCAACGGTTACCATGGCTACAAAGTACCAAAACTGAAATGCCCTCATTGTGTTCAAGTGTGAATTGCAATGGAATACATGCCCTTGCTTCTATTTTAAAAAAGGTAGATGAAAATTTTGCAAACTGCTACCAGAGAGATACAAAACATCCCTTCAGGTCAAAGATTCTCATGGGCCTTACAACACTTTTGTTCTTACTAATGATACTTCATTATGAACACACTCAATTGAAAAACATTCCAGCTTTTGGGGAAAAAACGTTTTTTAGCTGCAGAACCAACCTGTTTGTTACCTGGTTGTTAAGAACCAGTTAAGAAATAATTCCAGTTTTGAGGAGAAGCAGAGCAATGTGTACTGGACTTGGTTTTGCCCAGATGAACTGGTGATTTTTCATGTTCTCCCTTAAGAAATAAATTCAAGAACTGCAAGCAGACAAATATGAAAATATTTAATAGATCATGACATGACACAAACGCAACCGCAGCCTAACTAACGGCTGAATAAACATTCTAATTACATGGAATAAGCAGGTGTGTGTCAGTTAGCTGACCTATTTATGCCCTCTTGTGTTAAACACCTTGCTGCAAAACTCACCAGTAAAAACCTTAACCTTGTTACCATAAAATGTACATATTGTGAAAGCACACATCAGTAACTTTTTTATTCTTGTTTTTTTTAAAAAGTCAAATAAAAGACAACAACAAGAAAAAAATCTGAAATGTGAAGCGAAAGTTTCATCAAGCTAACACTGTTTTGTTTCTTTTTAAAAAAAACAAACACTGGATCATAACGTCTCTTCTTTCTCACTCCACGTACTTCTCGGGACTAGAAGCGTGCGGGTGGTGCGAAAGGACGGTGTTCAGTCATCATTTGTTCAGCCACCAGACCATGAATTTCTCACAACTGCAAAGAAAACAAATCCCGTTCTGGGTCTGGCCCTGAATGCTTGTGTTCAGGGAAGGCAGACACTGCGCCAAGCTCGCAGACGTTCTTAGGAGACGCTGGGCCTCCCGTGGTTGGATGAGCTCGCGCGGGTGTCAAGAGAGCGGGCAGCAGCCGGCCTCCTCATGCTTGGACAGCAGCGAGATCCTGGAGAAGGTCTTGGAGCAGCTCTTGCACTGGTACTTCTTCACGTCCGAGTGCGTCTGCAAGTGGGCCCGCAAGTTAGAACGGTCCGCAAAGGCCCGGCTGCAGTGCGGACAGGAAAAGGGTTTCTCTCCTGGAACAGCGAACAGAAGGAATGTGTCAGGGGACGAGGGAGACAGGGACAGCACACAAAGGTCGGAGGCGAGCCGCCTGACCCAAATCCACCACACGCTACAAGAGGCAGCGTCTATGCCAGAGCCATAATGTCAGAGTGAGTGAATGAAAAGGCCATGTAGGGTTTCAAAAATGGGGATTAATGGCCTTCGATTCCAGCACTGGAAACACTGAAAACAAAAAAAACTGAAATTGGATGTGCTCATTACCTTTCTCATCCTGACTAGAATCCAAGCTTGGCTGCTAGATGTATGAAACACGATCATAACTACATAGTCTTAACATCAAACGGGTGCTTCTCCTGCCTTTTTAAATCGATTGTTCTTCAGAAGACCTGTTAAATCTTGAAAATGTACCTTAAGGACAACAAATATTCATATATCTTATACAGATAATTGTAAACACTAAAATAATAGAGAATGTTTCACCCATGAATATGTTTGTTTGATCTATCATCAAATAACATATCCTATTCAGCTATGGAAATCTTTGGAAAAAAAGTAACTTTGTTGCCAAGATGCTTTTTTGCAAGCGTGGCATTCATTATACCCAGTACTAAACCAGGAAGATTGTTCTTGTTTCTGACCTTTTAATAAACATGCACATTAACAAACTTCAAGCCACTAGAGTGGCTAATAACTCTTCTACCATCAACCTGTGATCATGGAGGTTGTATAAAGAATACTTCCCGTTCTCTCTAGAAATTATTTTCAGAAAGTCTTTTGGCAGCCCATCCAGGTGTGTCATTGTAAATCTTGGCATTATCATAGCAGGCTGCAGTAAAGTACAATGAATTCATAGAACACACAGAATGCACCAGTAATGACTCTCTCTATGAGTGGAGGCTGAGCCCTAAGATCCTGATGTCAACTGGGACTCTCCAAGCTGCCCCTAGAGATTCAGCTGGTCAGGGCGCTCTCAGGTCCCCAGGAAATAGTGCCCCCCGGAAATTCCTGCGGCACATGCAGGCTCAGGTTGAAGTCAGTGAGAGACCTGGCTCTCCTCCGCCTGGTGTGGACCCTCCTGCACACCACAGCAGAGCTGGAGCGATTCAAGAGACAGCCAGGGAGCTGGGACAAGCCTGTGCGTCTTGCTTGAGAACAAGGCCCTTTGCCGTTCAGTTCAGTTCACAGCTAGCAGTGCCAGTCTGGGCGCGTACATGCTAAGGAAACGAACTGTGATTCTAAATTTAAAAAAGAATTTTATGGGAACCACTTGGGAAGGTCAAATGTTGTAACAGGGCGAACATCCCTGGCCGCCTAGGTTTCGAGGGGCTCCGTACCTGTGTGTGTGCGGATGTGGCCCTGCAGCAGCCAGGGCCGAGAGAAGGCTTTGCCGCAGAGCTTGCAGACGCAGGGCAGCGTGTGGGTGCGGATGTGCATCTTGAGCGCGCCCAGGCTCACGTACTCCTTGTCGCAGTACTTGCAGTTGAAATACCTGTGGCACTGCCACTCGCAGTGCAGCTGCTTGTGTTTGGCCAGTCCGGAGAAGGTGTAGTAGGCCTTGTGACAGTCAAAACACTCAAACTTCTCCTGGGAATGGTGGGGGAGACTGAGGAGAGAGCTGGGAATGAGGCTCTTGTCCTCCAAGAGCCTGGGGCCTTGGCTGAGCTGGCTGGCGTTCATGTCCCGCTCACTGGGGGAGACTCTATGAGGAGTAGCGGCCAGTTTCACAGCCAACACCGTCTCTTCTGACAGCTTTTCCTGAAAAGAGCACAGCGCCTGCGTTTCTCTCAATGGGTGTGAGGTAACATCAGCTTCTTCGGGACTGGAAGTCTGGGTTGCTACAGCAACGAGGGGCATACATTCCCATACTCCCAAGGCCTGGACACAAGTCGCAGTTGATGGAAACTCAGGCTGCAGACTCTGCGCGATCACAGACTCTTCAACAACTGGAGAAGTGGCTTCTCCTGCAAAAGCACAGACAAAAAAATAAAAAATATATTTTCCCAAAACCAACCAAAACAAACATGCTGGAGGTTTTAGGAGACTCCAAAAGTACCTTACAGAACACCAAAACAGATTTAATTTACTAGCCATTTAACTACTAATACTTGTAAAGGAAAATATTCTGTTGATTTTATCCCCAGTTTACAGTGTATTTTCAGTTCCTAGGGAATTTTAGGCAATTTGCAGCTATTTGCAAAACCACCCTCCTCTGAATATACAAGTTGGACTTACCAGAAAACTTCCTATTTAAAAAAAAAACACGAATGACTTAGATAGCATCATAAATAAAAAATCTGGACACAAAGACAGAGCATATGATCATACATATTCTAAGATATCATTACCAATATTAGCATGACAGACCCTGATAATATTTCAGAACTAAATGTACTTCTTAATACACTGCTAAAGTTCTCTGGCAACATCAACTGAACAAATTGATGGTATTACTCAAAGGTGCTGTCGAATTTAATATGTGGTATTCTCCCATATTTTAAAATTATTTTATCATACCATGTTGGTACTAGTTTTAGTGAATTGTGTTTCTGTTTAAAACAAGCGAATGATTTTATCATAATGTAGTCTTTAAGGCTGCTTGAAAAGACCCTCACGCAGAGAAAAAAACTTATGCTAAAGGAAATGGACCTTAAGTAAATTTATTAAACTTATATAGACTCATCTGTTTGAACTAAACTTGTGCCACAGTTTAATTGAATCTTTTAACAGAGCTTCAAGTTATGAAGTGAATGTTCAAATGCTCAAAACCAGGCTACAATTATGCAATGCTCATGTACGTGGCTGTTAATAATAATAAAAAAGGCATATAGAGCTGGTTAAGATAAATGGCAGAATTTGAATAAAAACGCATTTCATTCGGATTTATGAGTTTAAGGAGCCTCGAAAGGCACTAGATTAGCCTCTTCAACAAGCTTAATAGGACCCTTTAGATCCCAAAAGGAGGGACGGACAATGAGCCCCTCTTTTGTGTGAGAGATTCTGCACCTGCTAAACTCCAGCAGCGAGTGTGCTGTCCGTGGCAGAAAGTTTTTAAGCTTTATTTTTTAAAATTAACGTAAGTAATTTAAAGAACTTCACTGTGTTGTTTTTGTTTTACATTTGATATATACGTTTTATATCTCACGTATAAAAACATAAACTTTATATGCAATAATGTGATAACTTTGTTTCAATTTACCTTCATTCATGTATTATTATGATACAAGTATTAACATTACTTCAAATGATCATTAGAAGGTGCCGTTATTAAAAGGATGTCGTTTTTAGTTGTATGCATCAGTTAAAACACATGAAAAGCAAAATAAGAGGGGTTTAAACCGCAGTATTGTATATATCACAATGTAAACCCTAAGTGAAAATACCTGATTCAAAATTACAACGATATTTTTTAAACAATATAAAATAATATAAAAACATGAGTTTGGCTTTAGTTACAAATTACCTTTTTTAAGGGATTCCAGATGACCGTAATGTGGCTTCCTTGAAGTCAGGTGTTTCTTCACCAGAAAAGATCTTGGCATTTTTACTATAGCTTCTTATTACTGAATTTACCTTGCATTTAGCTCTACCCAAGTCCATGCAAGAATGCTTAAGTGAAAGCACATAGACAGGAGACGACCGGATAAATAAATAGCCGATACTTGGAGGCAGTCTTTGCCTTGCATTCTTCAGTGTAGTAGAGAGTCAGGTGCAGAGGGTCACAGCTTATTAGCATAGAGACCCTGCTGAGCCAATTAGAATGGAAGGACAAGTGTAGGAGGTGGAGTCTCTGATGTCTATCAGCAGCCCCATGAAAACAGGTGCATCGTGCTTTATAGTACTGGATAGTGCTAGTGTCTTGTCAATTAGACTGTGAATAGGTCATGCACGCAGAATTGCAATTCCTGTTTCATGCGTTACTCTGAAGTAATGTTCCGATATTATGAGATCTCAACTTTGAAGACTGAATTGAAATCATCATTCTTTTTATGATTCACCCGTTTTTCAATGAAGTTGTCCAAAGCAATGCTACATTTTCACAGCGAGACGGATATTTGCGTGCACTGATTTTCTCACAAAAGACAATACCCAAAATCAGATAAAAATGAAAATAAAATTAAATAAATTTCATGATTTTACTTTTAGTCTCGTTAAATCCTTGTTCTTCTTTTTCACAAATAGTGGTGCAGCATTTTTTTTTTAAATGGGAACGCTCAAGAAAATACAAGAACACGGAGTTAATTCAATCAGAATGTAGCTTTAATGCGGTGGTTCGGAGAAATCTGTGTAAGGTTAATGTCTGTTACATTACAAATGCGAACTGGCCAAAGGGCATGTCTTTCCTACTCCCCAGTATCTATACATACAATTATTTTGAAAAGATTTGTTGTCATACTGCTTAAAATTAAACTATTCAGTGATGTGAAGTTTTCAGAACTATTGTATGTAGTCTTGTGTTGAAGAAAAAACTGTTATCCATACTCTTGTGTGACTTACAAAATGGCTGACTTGAAGTAGGCCTACTTTCATTTTTCTCAGTTTCTCTCCATATGTCTCCCATTTAATGCTTTGAAAACAAACAGCATTCCAGGTCAATTCCATCCCAGTCTAGAGTGTGTCCTTTGTGAGGGCCGAACTCAAAAGGGACAGATTTATCCTGCAGAGCAAAGCCTAACGAGGGTGGAGATGGTGAGGGAGAGGGGGTTGGGGGTTAGCAAAACAAGCACCCAGACCGGACACATTACCATCTGAATACGAGACCTGAAAGCTCTGAAAAAGAGGATTTCCTCACAATGCAGAGTAGGACCCTGCTCCTCCAGTGGCACAACGGAATTCCAGCAGCAGGCTTTGCCATAACCGATCCTCGGGATTCGGCTGCCTTGCTTCTGGTGCGCACAATACATAGTTCTAAAATAAGTCAATATTCCAAACCTTGAGAAAAGGGATGTAAGCAAAATTCCAAAGCCCGGGAGCGTTGTAAACCCTGAAGTAAAACCATTCCAAAGGGGGCAGTGCTATTGGACTACACCACAGAACACCAAATACGAGTGTTGATTATAATTCAATACTGTGTGATGAAATTAGTCATTTTTTTGCAAAAAGAGAAGTAGTTATTATGTGAGAATTTAATTTTCCATGGATAGACGGGGAAACGCCTACTCTACAGGAACGTCTGAAGCAGAAACAGAAATGGTACAAGTGGTAATGGTGTTTCTTACCCAGTATGTCAGAGCTACTGTACTACAAGAGGAAATGCTTGTACAGATCTTGGCGTTTCAAACAATCAAGACAGAGTTTGGCAATCAGGAATGAGAGAAACATTAGGAAACTGTGGTCATAATATGGTGTAAAGGAACCAGTAAAGGTTTATTCCATGCTGAAAAGAGAAAAAAGGAAACAACGCTTTAGCTGTGGAGCCTTCCTCGGGTGTAGCTTTGAAGTGATTTTTGAAAGTACAAGTTGAGCCCAAAGCTGAGTTTTTAGGAATGAGTAAAACAAAGTAAAACAGTGTTCCAAAGAGTTGAACAAATCAATTAGAAAAAAAAATAAAGGGAAAAGAAAGAGTTTTCTTAAATATTTTAAAATTAGAGGATTAGAAAGTACAATTAACTGCAAACCTAGGATATCAGTAAGCATAAGGGAGAAATTGACTAGTCTTTGTTCAAATCCCAGGTAAGATACTGCTGTTGTTGCATATAGTATCTTCCCCAGATCTCTCTAGAAAAAATAACCTGCTGTATAAATGGTTGCAAATGTCACTTTGGATCAAAACATTAAAAAGAATGGTGATAAATCTGGGACAAGTAATTATACATCAACAGATGTCTTGTTACTGTAATGTTATGGAAGCAATAATTAATTCAAAGTATTGACTATATATGGAAATCAGATTCTAGGGATAAGTCAACATGGATTTATACCAATTAGAAAACAGAGTATAGAGAATAGGTGAATTCTCAAACTGGGGTATAATTTGTGGAATACCACATGGATCTGTACTGTACCACTGCTATTTCTGGTTCTGGTTAAATAAGTAAACAAGTCACATTTGCAGATGGTACAAAAGTAAGGGGAAATATCATAGAAGCAAAAAAAAATTCAAACAGACTTTTTCTCAAGACTCTGGTAGAACAGGTAGAACTCACTCAGCTTTCTAGCTTCAAAAGTGTTACAATGTGCAACAGGGAAATCAAAAGGTTATAGAGTTACATTAGGCTGTTTAGAAAGCCCAGATGATGATGATAATAGAAGAAGAAGCTTATCTTAGCACTTTACAGGGAAAGAAGTAAACAAAAATAGAAGAAAACAATCAACAAAGATTGGAGATAAAATTAACACAAATATGATGGCTTAAAATTCAGTAGAGGGTACAGTGAACAGACAGACACCAATTAAATCCTTTCTGAAGAAGGTTTGCAGTCTGAATTTGAATCTGCTCAGGTTGGGTGACCTATGTCCTTAGAGATCGTGTTAGAGAAGCTGACTTCTGGACACACCGAAGTTTGATCAGTGTGGATTTAGATAGCCCCGCAAGTAAGGCATTGCAGTAATGAATTTTAAAAAAGATGATTATGTTGACCAGCTTTTCTGCTAGTCAGAGACAACATCGGATGTATTCTGGCGATATTTATGAGATGGAACAATGATGTTTTTAACTGTTGTTTCACATGATGTTTGCTACAGATGCAATATTGACATTCCCGGAAGTTTTATTAATAGGCATCACCTAACAGGAGTTCAGCAAACCTACCGCATAGCAAGATTTACTTGCCTCTGTAAACTCCAATCTTATACTGTACGATCTCAGAATGATAAAATTGTTAAAGAGAATGAAGATTGTGCTTTAAGATGCTGTTCAGATGTAATTTATACAATTCAGCATAGACTATCATCAAGAGTATAATTTCTCTGTGTCTTTGAGCCAGGGAAGATGGCTTTGATACCACTTTAAACTGTATAGAATGAGCTGAATTGCTGCTATATGTAGAAATCAATTAAATGGAAAACCAATCAACTAAGAAAAAAAAAACTGGGCACATCTGATCATTTTATACCAGTTTCATAAAGAATCAAATACACTAGAATTGTTTGCATTTATCACAAAGCAAATATAAAATCACACTTCATTAAATTAACTTCATAACGGGGCAAACTTTACAACTTCAAGTCACTGAAAAAAGTAGCAACCAGTGCTAATTATTAAAGCAAAAACTAACACGTGCATTTGTAATCTTTATTTTCAACTGAGTATTGATGGAGGGAAGTATGGCAAACCTTAGAAATGCATTTAAGATGAAGCATTGCCACCTAGTGTTTTATATAGAGATTTGAAAGTGAAAATATTTTTCAGTACATCTTTAGAGACCTTTGGTGTTGACATTAACCCTAGGCAATACAGTTTTGACAGTCCCACTAAAAATTACAGTAACTGGGTTTGTAAAGGTTTATTTAAGGCAGATTAAGATTCCTGCAGACTTGTACAGTTATGTATCAGATTTCAAAATAAAATGAGTCCAAATGTTACCGCCTGGTGAAGATTCTAACACTTCAACAGTTTATTGGTAATTAGAACATCCCAATAAAGCTGCACTGTAAAATTTAAAATCATGTTTGACAATTACATTTCTGATTTTATTGAATTCATTCATCACACCATGTGGCAATTAACAGGTCTAGTGGATTATTGTATTATAATACTGTACACTTGTATGCAGTTGCAGTAATAAGTTCAAATATTTAGCTGCATCGGCATGCATAGGCTGCGAAAGAACAGGCAGAGGTTTATTCCATGCTGAAAAGAAAGGACAATGTATCGAAAGGCTCCACAGGTGAAACATGTGAATAAACCTCTGCCTGTTCTGTTGATTAATTATTTCTGCAATTAGTTGATTTGCAATTGAGTGCAAATCCAATCTACTACTAGCAAGGATTAATTATTCAATTTAGAACTAACATTACTGCATCTTAAATTACATTTTCATAAAATATTCCTAAATCATTTAAAAAGGTCAGATATTGCAGGACAATTCTGAACAGCACCATACACTTCTGCATGGGGAATATAAAGAGGACCAATTCTTAGGAAGCCAATTGTACTAAAAGGGCATCCCTCACATACAAATGGAGCGGTATTTTATATTCTAAACAGGACATGAGCTTGACTTCGAGAAATCCTTCTAAAAGATAACAGGTGTATGTTGCCTTTTCGTTAAAAGTTATGAAGTATAAGACACGTTTTTTTAAGGATTTATTTAATAAAATATTTTGATGTATATCTCAAACAGTCCCAAAATAAGCAATAACTGAATTGTTTTTCCTTTCCAGTTTTCACATTCTCTGTTAAAATGCATATGAAAAAAACTAAGCAACAAAAAAAGGCTAGCCTTTAAAAAACAAAAACTATGAAGTTGTCTAACTTCCATCCTTTGGTTACAAGCAGTTCTTTGGTTGTTGAAGGCATTTCCTCTAAATTAGAGAAGGAACTTGTTTTATTCTCTAACAGTAGAAGTTCTAAGTCAATTTTAGTGTAGAATAAATGAAAGGATTTTAAATACATAAAACAGTCTGCTTAAAGTACAAAGAACATCCCATTTCTCATGCCTTTCATATTAAGATTTCAATAGTAATCAGAAATGCAAGATCTTTTTTCAAATTCATAAAAAAGGGTTAAAAAGGATAGGAGTCCATGCAATATTTACAAGCACTAGGCTGAAATCTGCTTATTCTGAATTCACCAAGTTAATATTTCTGAATGGCCTCTTTATAGCAGTAGTGCAGTCAGGAGAGTTTCTTCATCCCCCTGATTGACTCAGCTGAAGATTTAAGTTTCTCAAATTAAAAATAGTGAACTATACAGGTGCACAAATTCAAGGTCACGAGTCAAGTGAATTGTAGTGAAGAGGAAGTTTACAAATTGGGGCTAACTGGCAAAATGGTCTTCAGTCTTCCCCACCACCATACATATCGGCCAGTTTCTTGAAGCGTGGGCCCCATTCACCGAGGCAGTCATAGTCCTGGTCGCCCCCTGAGCTGGAAGAGTTGAGGGAGCTGAGTGAGCCAGCTTCTGAACCGCCTCCTTCATAATCAAACACCAAGAGGGAGTCGTAGGGGGGAGCAGTAGGGTCACTGTCCGCGGCCTTCAAGTTCTGTGGAATTTGGGGAAAAAAAGACAATTTTGATGTATTTTTACTACAGAAAAATGTACAGATCATGAGATTACCACAACAACCCCGTTGCTTCAAAATTTCTACTAAAGCAGTTTGACTTTCAGTTTACCTGTTGTATTATGTGATTTCTTTTTGGCAAGAATAATTTGATTAATTTTATAACTATTTAGCATGTATGATAAAATCAGTTTAAAGGTAAAGGGTATAGACATCAATAGTTTAGGCCTTTCTACTTTAACAAAGGAGTTTGATAGAGAGATTACACATGAACAGGAAACAATGGCTTCCATGCAGAACTTACATCCTCAATAAAGTTTCCAATTTCCTCAGGGTTAGCAGGCCGGGGTCTGTATTGAGGAGCAGGTAGGCCAGTAAATGTTGGAACCACGTCATTACGGAAGACTTCAGGACGATTATCCAGACCTCTGTGCAGCTGGCTCAAGTCATATTCCTGTGTACAAAATATAAAGTATATTCATCAAAAATGTTGCTTCAATCCCACATTCACAATAATGCCACAGTTCCCTTATCAACCTTTACAGATTGCCTGAAAGTTAAGGGTATCCCTGCGTATTCTTGAGTTTAAAAATAACGTAAGGTTACTAAATCATTTGGGCTCTCCTGTTTAGATTAATCAAAAGGTGACTCAGTTTTTTTTTTTTTTTTTTTTTAATATTCCCTTTTAGGATTTCTCTTCAAATTTTAAAACCTACTCCTTGCTATACTGACAACCAAAGAAGGCCCCACAGCCAAAATGCTGTCTCTTTTCCTTTCAACATGGAATAAACCCTTTACCCGTTTCCTTTGCTCCTTACTATACAGTACTCTACACATATTGTACCCACTTAATGAGCCACACTGACCAGTTTTCTCTCGGATGTTGGATATAAAATGTTGGCAAAGTCTTAACACCCACCTGATCTTCCTCTCCACCACCTTCTTCATCGTAATAGAAGACATTGTCACGAATGTCATCCTCTGGAATCAGAGGCTCTTTTTTTACCCTGGTCCTTCTTCTGAGGAACATCAGCAGCAACAGAATCAGAACTGTGGGTTACAGACAGAGTTGCATTCAATACTCAACATCCAATTTTTGTCACCTCAGTGACTCGAGACTCAACCCTGGAGGTTGAATAGCTTGCAATCCATTCATTGGACGTCTGGCTCCAATATAATGTGCTTGTCTACATGGTCTAAAGCATTTCAAGTTTTACAACAGAAAAATACTCAAAACAAAGCCTAATATGACTTACGTAGCAGTCCCAGAATGGCTCCCAAAACACCAAGTATTCCAGGCAGGGAAACCAGTGCATCACGAACAGGCATGCATTCTGGGTCTGGTCCTTTACAGTTACAGACTTTTGCTAGAAGAGTACTATCCTGGAAGTTTTTTGCAGCATCGAAGATCCTCAGGACAACATTGTAGTCACCCTGCTCCAGCTTTGTTTTAAGCTCCAACACAACACTAGTTTCTAAAGAAGAGAGGAGAAAAAAAATTGGTTGCAGATAATTGTTTAGAACACTTTAAAGAAAATACTGAACTCCTGTAGCAATGGCAGCAAACGCAGAATGAAGGTAAGCCTTTACCATTACCTGATCTACCTTATCCAAAAGTTGGTAATCTTATATACCAACAAATTTCAATTACACTGCAAAAAGTATGACAAGATTCTGAAACAGTAAAGAATTACATCAAGCTAAAATATTGAATTGCTATAACAATGCAGCACAATCAGAATGAAGACTTTACCCTCTTTTTTTTTTAATCCTAAACAAACCTGCTTTGAAATGTCTAGGTAAATTAAGTTAGTATTGCAATCTACTTCATAAATATCTACTATACTGTGAAGTGGCAAAAACCATCACAAAGCCACGTTTCAAGGCTCCCCATGTATACTAAAATCACTAGTTAAAATCTGATAAAATGTCAAATTTCAAAGAGAAGGAAAATTAACGTGAGTGTCACAAGTTCTCAATGTCCTTATATGGACAGCAAAATCAGTAAACTTATTTCAATGGTGAAATTAATCACAGAACTGTTCACTAAAAATAAAGAGAAAGCATTTAACATTTACATTACAATTTTCTGTATATATATACACTGATGGAAAAAAGAAATGCAACATTTTCTGGAATGAGAATCCTCTAGTTATAGATACTTTATTGATCCTGTGAGGGAAATTGCAGAAATATAGATTATATCCTTTCACAAAAAGTTGTCAGCTTGTGCAGTGAAGCATTGCAACTTTAGGTGCACTTTTAACCAACGAGGTTCAGGTGGAACAAAGCCTGATCAGGTCACCTTTATAAAGGCCTTAATTCGAAGCTTAGGTCACTGCAAGAAAAAGGCCACACTTGGTTTTCTGTGCATTCCAGAATGCCTCGAATGTCACCAGAAGCAAAAAGAGGGCCACTTGCATGCTGCAGGCAGGCATGTCATGTGCCAGCGTTGCCAGACACTATGGAGTGAGCCGCTCCACTGTGTTCCAACTGCAGAGAAGGTATCAGCAGACCGGCATGACAGATGACTGTCCAAGATCCGGTCGCCCTCGAGTGACCACGCCAGAGCAGGACCAACACATCAGACTGGTCCATCTGAGAGATCGTTTCAGATCTGCCACCCAAACTGCTGCTGAAACTGCCGGCAGAAAATGCCCACATCAGTGACAGGACAGCGAGGCTCCATGCTGCTGGCCTTAGAGCAAGGCCACCTGTCAGAGGCCCTCTGCTCACACCTCCTAGACGTCACACCTGACTGGCTTGGGCCAGACAGAGGCTGCGATGGACTCATCAGCAGTGACATCAGGTGCTCTTCAAATATGAGGCACTCTTCAGCCTGTTCCACATTGAAGGGTAGGCCAGAGTGTAGAGGAGGAGGTGTTGCATTTTCCCCCCCCAATCATTATATAATCAAAAGAAGCAATTCCTCCTATAAGAACCATGAGAATTCATAAAGAAAAATACTTTTCTCATCCATTGTAGCAGTCCAATTATTCTTGGAGTTCCCTTGGAGAACCACACTGAACGGATCAGCATTTTCAGGACTATCTTTGTCCGTAACGGACAGCAGTACAGGACTAGATTCTTCATTACAGATGGTGATCTCTCTCTCTTCAATTGTTGGAGCATTGTCATTAACATCCTGGAGCTCTATAAGAAGTGTCCCAGTGCCAGTTGCAGGAACTTGATCTGTAACACAAATAGCACATTAAAAATCTGGAAAAATTAAATTTAAAATGTTTAATCAAGAATGTAGCAAAGAGTTTTACCATCATCAAATGCCAGAATGAGAGCTTTATACATCCCATCTTTGACATAAGGAGACTCTCTGTCCATAGTGTTCCTCACTTTGATAAGCCCTGTATCTTTGGCAACACTTAGCCACCCTGCAGGATCACTTCCTATTCGATACCTGAAGGAAACATCACAGAAAAGACTTGTACAGGACTTGTTTCACATAGCTCCAATTTTCATACTAGATAGAAATGACTTCTGAATATTACAATATTAACCAACATTGGGAAAGCTAACGATGTATATTTAATAAACTTTAGTCACACATTTGTACATCAAGTCATACACGGCATCACTGTACCTTTATATGTACACCTTGAACTTAGATTATTTAGTTTGTGCCCTTTATCAATATAGCACCTTCACCAGTAGTTCTAGGACATTACAAAGAGATTAGAATAACAATAAAGCATGTGAACATGAAAATTAGACCCTAGTTGTTCTACCAAGAACTCCTCTGACTGTAATAAAGGCATGAGAAAGGTCCTTACCCTACAGTCTGCTTTCTTGCAGTGTCTGGATCTGTAGCTTTATATACGTCCAGTACAGCTCCTACTTCAAGGTCCTCTGACCGGCGGATTGTTTTTTGAGGTGGATCAAAGATCGGGGCCTCATTAACATCCTCCACATTTACAACAACAGTAGCAGTGGCTGTTGGCAGTCGAGTGGCAAAGGGCACTTCATTTTCTACTGTAATCAATAAAGTGTACTTGCTGTTCTTCTCAAAATCAAGACCCTTGAAGTGAATAAGAACCAGACATCTGTCACGTCCACACAAATATCTAGACGTTTTCATGATGTTTAAACTATAATGGTGTCACTCAGAAAAAAAAAGCACCTGGTAGTTCCGTCTTCTGAAGCAGTGACTTCAAGTAGTAAATGCCATTTACAAAACCTAAATCTACATTTAAGAACTTACTAAGAATTACAAAGTCTTACAATTAAAATAATCGTTTCTCTACACAAATGTATATCTTTATTAGCATTTAATCTAACTTCAGGGAACCTCAATCTTACCTTTGCAGTTCTAACAATGCCCTCCATCTTGCCAGGCCCAGTGCTGACATTGAAGAACCCTCCTTCATTCCCTTTGACGATTGTATACCTGGTGTTCCAGGCTGGTGTGTGTGGTTCATCCATATCGGTCACTGGTAGTTTCACCACCTCAAAGTCTACTTTGTTTTCAGGCACAGTAACAGTATACTGCAGAATTAAAAAAAAATTGATATTACATTTGATCCACGGAACTAGAAAACATCCTATTTTATCTACAACACAATGAAATTAATACTGGCCTTAATGATGCTTAATACTGGCCTGACCAGAATGAAAAAAGTGAATCAAGGCATAAGAATTAAAACACTGTGTGCAATTCATCTTTCAGCATTTGATCTTGAATGGGGTGGAAAGAAACGACAAAAAGCAGAACTTACCGAAACCTGTGTGAACTGTGGAGCGTTGTCATTACTGTCTGTTACAGTGATGACTGCAGTGGCAGTGGTCAGCCGACCTGCCCCATCCATATCAGAAGCTCCAATCAGCAGTGTATATTCAGGGTTTTGCTGAAATTATAGAGAGACAGGCTGTAAGATTGATTTAATTCTTTTAATAATCTCACTTATGTTTCAAGGAAACCCGTTAACTAGGACTCAGGAAACCTGCATGGGATCACAGAAAGGTCTTGAATTCTATCCTTCTAAATTGTTTCAGCACCACCTTCAAATAAGAGATTTTCCTTAATCCTTAAACTGTGATAAATTATGAACATACCTCTCTGTCCAGTCCAGGCGAAGCAACACTTATCACTCCACTCACTGGGTTGATCATAAACATGTTGGGATTTGGCTCCTTAGGTTCTTGGCTTATGATGCTGTACTTGATAATCCCATTATCTGTATTAGGATCATCTTTGTCTGTTGCAGTTACGGTCATGAAAGCAGTACCTTAAAATATGAAATGCAGCGACAAAATGAAAGATCCACATGCATAGGACTGCAAAGTGCACATAAGCACTGTATCACAGTGCTACAGTATGAACGAATAAAACTGCAATAAATGGTCTAATCTTATACCTTAAGCATAATGTAAGAGGTGAGCAGTTTGAAGACTGAACGTGATGATACACATAGCTATAAGAAAAAGTCCTTTAAAACACAGCCATGAAATTGCAAAAAAAATAGCTCTTACCTGGTGGAGATGCTTCTGTGGCATTGCCCAGAAAGGTGTCTTTGGTAAATTCAGGACTGTTATCATTCTGATCAATAACATTAATAATGATTTCCATAGG